TACTACTACAAGCAGTTTGTAAATACTTATCATGCACGGTACTGTTGTGGGAGCATTTCTCTCATAATTTTTTTGGTCTTTGAATAAAAGTTTTAAGAAGTATTTATGATCTAAGTAACGCATTAAATAGCGAATTCCACTGACATTAGTACGAAGGATAGAAATAGTATAAAAAATTATTTTTTAAGACTAGAGAACAGCAGGTACACCAAACGCGACACCACTCCCTTAAAAATAAAATCCATAATCACTTAACTCATGGTGTCGAAAATGATAAGCAAAAAATATTAATATTTTTCACTTACTACTACTATAGAACGCCATTTTATTCTTTAATAGAGACAAAAAATATGCAACATAGTAATTGAATCATTTGAATATCACTTTTTAATAGCATTTTAATTTAATTTTTGGGTTGAAAAAAATTGGACAAATTTAATATTTATTATACAAAATTTTACATGGCTTTATATGCATATATTAGAAAGAATTATGTCACAAACCATTTTACAGGCATATTACACCTATACGAAGAATATGTTTAGTTAGATTTTGCTCAGTCACTTGAATGCGCTCTTACTAAAAAGCGATTTTCACTATTCCGTTAGAAAAGGGGTGCAGTAGGTAGGATATTATGAAATTTATCGAATATATCGGTAGACTTTTCGCATCTACAATTTATCGGAATATCGAAACTTGTTGGGTGCATGACAAAGTATTTTAGATTCTAACGGTACGAAATTTCTAACGAGAAATTTATATACAGACGTTGCCTTAAAAACATTTTTATCAAGGCTTAAAGAGCCTCTAGATACTCCAAAATTACTCTGTCATTTAAGCAGCCCACGCGAACGTTTAAACCAAATACTACAAGATTATTTTCAGTAACAAACAAGAACTAACAAGCAACAATCGAAGTATTTCACAAAATCACAAGTATTGAATGAAAAAAAAAATTACGAAAACCCCATCAATAAAGAACAGACAATTTCAAGTCTTTCCCACAACAACAACATCAATTTCGAGGAATTACACAACACTGAACAATGTGGTGAAAATCCTGATTGAACAAAATTTTACGAAACAATTACAATGGCAATATTAGACAATTGTCTGATATCGTACTAGTCGAACATGACCTTAAATTTCCAATTGATTGCAGCTTATTAAAATCTTTTAACTCACCTACAGCGTTTAAATATTACTAGAAAAATTTAAATGAAGACCAGAACCAGTTATCGACTTAGCCACACTGACCCTCGATGTTGCATCTGAGCAGGGAGGAATTATGTCACGAGCCATTCCTGCACCACACACTCACCTTACATAAAACTGCTGTTTTGTTTATTTCTCAGCTCAGTACGCTCTTACCATTTTTTTAATTTAGAAAAATTTAGAAAAATAAAGTTTATTAAAACTTCTAGGGAAAGTCACATCTAAACGTTTGAAGAAAAGGAGTGATGAGTACTAATATATAAAGAAACGTTTTAAATAGAGCAAATAATATAATAATATAATATAGAATACCGCTTAACTACTTAATACAAAAGTTTTCGTGTCTCAATTAATACTAACAATATGTCATTATTTTTGTACATACAAATTTATTGTTTAACAGTGAACCGATTGAAACGATAAGAACAAAATTAAATTCACGAAACATTTAAATCCATGAAACATAAGTTTTTTACCAAATACAAAAAATTGGGGTGAAAGATATTTGTGATATTAAATGTTTGTCATATATTTTCAAAATGATTTAAATAATTGCTATTTAATTGATCAGGTAAAATGTTTGACAAATTAAAATATTTCAATTTAATTATTTTTACTTCAATGTGTATAGCTACTGTATATTCAATTAGATTGTCAACATTAAATCATAGGATATTCAACTGAAGCAGCAAAGTATAGTTTACTTTGGAATATCGAAAACATTGAAAACTATGTATGTTCTTTGTATGTATATGTATCTCTAACTCCAATGCTTATATTCACAAAATTATATAGGATATAAACACTCACTTGAGCGGCGAAAAAAACATTTTTGAACAGCCAAATCCAAGATTTTTCATTCACCACTCATGACTTTTTATTAAAACTGCTATACTACTGTAACACTTTGTACAAAACTTCTGGATTCCTCCTGCGTCGGTTTTTGCTGAGTCGAACTTGCTGACGTTTCGCCAATCATCCTATTGGCTTCTTCAGAGGTTGACTGTACCTGCTTATATATTGTTTGCATATATATATTGTTGCAGTTGCCGAACAGAATAACGAAACCGGACGTAAAATTAATTCGATAAATCCGACAGCCTATAGAAATCAATAAACAACCTAACAATCTTAACCGCGACTGTGTTTATACCCCTCATTTAGCTCCACCCCCCCTCAAACAATATATATGCAGGTACAGAGTAAAGAGCGAGCCAGTTTCAGTCAAGCTCTGAAGAAACCAACAGGATGATTGGCGAAACGTTAGCAAGTTCGACTCAAAAACCGACACAAGAGGAATCCAGAAGTTTTGTAAGAAGTGATTCTGATGTTTGTTATAAACTCTGTTACAAATAAACTGTTTCTTTATTTTAAGTTTCGCGAATTGAAATGTTTCATAAATGTGATTGTTGTAAATCTTAATTGTTCTTTGGAATGTCGCAGAACTTTTGGTGTAACATTTCATTTTATAATACTATTTTATTAAATTAAAATGTTTAGTTTCTTAGATATTGGGTATCAAAATTTAGAAAAGAAGCATTTATGGGTTGGTCCGTAAGAGCAAAAAAACCTTTATTAAGCAAAATTATATGAAGTACAAATAACTTCGTATTAATAAAGTACAGTAAATAATTAATTACATACTAGTTCTGTCCACAATCTATTGTGTACACGAGGTGCGAATTTTCCTTCGGTACTATTAAACCCTTGAAGAGAAAAAGGTACCATACAAGTTTACTAAAAGAGCTATTGTTTATAGTGTTTCAAAACAAATCCGAAAAACATAAGGGACTAATTCTTCTTTTTTACAATAAAAGGTAGTTTGTTACTTAAATATTAAGACAAAAGCTAATAATTAGGGAGATATGGCGTTACAAGTATGGCAGGAAACTAATATTTTTATTTTTAATACTAAAAACCCTTTTTGCATTTTTTTAATGAAAAAAGGGGACTGAATTAGACCACCCCTACAGTTCTAAATCTAAAGAAAAACATAAGCAATCCCTTGGACAAAATTGATAAATTGTGATAGTTTGGTTTATTAGAAACTCAAAAAAGTCTGCAATTTTTTCACAAAACTTACAGTTGCCGAATAAAAAAATAAAATGTAAAATATCACATGTCGAGAAAAAAAAATTGGTTGAGTGCTATTCAACAGTTGTACTTCTACCACTATTTACCAATTATCTTCAAAACAATACAATTTAAGAATAATTTGTATATGGCTCAATTAATTAAAATTAAATGATCATTGATAATTCCTAACCAAACCTTCACGTCAAACTAATATCTACATTGTGTTATTGGATGTGTTGCAGAAAAGATAGGAATTTTGGTTAGAATTGCAAACTTTATAACACCTTTGCTTTTTTTATTTAGAAATGTTCTTTAGAAAATAAAAATGCCTTTTTTTATTAGTTTCAAACTTCATTTTTAAAACGAAATTTTCCCCTACTTTTTTAACACAACTGCACTTTGTCATTTTGCCGTATAAATAGATTTTTTAATCCCACGGAGTTACCCATAAAATGTATTTTTCCGAATTTTGACGGTCAACGGACATTTTTTTTTGTCAGCAAGATGGACGAAAAATATCCATTTTTGGGTTTAACAGTTTCAAGGAAGCACCAAAGTACGCCAACTATGCCTTTATTTAATCGATTTCGTATCTCCTACAGTTCCAATTTGGGACAGCTTGTACAGTCGGCTGACAAGTTTTGAAAATTTAAAACTCAATAAGGAAAAAATATTACTAGAGATTGCATATAGGCTTAAAAAATATTTTCATTTTAATTTGTAATTCCGTTATTTTTGAGTTTTTGAAAAAAATCTATATTTTTTGTTGTTATGTTTTTGTTTTCATGATGTCATTGCGCCCAATACAATTTACAAAATTTAAAATTATTTTAAAGTATACGGGATTGCTCAAAAAGTCTTGACGAAGAAAACAGTTTTTTTAAATAAACACCCTATTTTTAAACATGCGTTTGAAGAAGATTTGTAATAGTGTTGCAAACCATACTTTTTCTACAACCGTTAGTTTTGGTTAGATTTTTGCTAAACAGCACAGATACATTCACTGACAATGACCGTCAGAATTGACAAAAGTGAAAAATTCAATTTCGGAAAACATTCGATTGCTCCCAAACCCGGAAATGTTCTCAGTAGCTGGGATCCGTGGGACAAGAAACCCACATGGTAAAGTGAAGTTTGCCGCACGCTAGACCGGTGTATAATTAGGTATTTTACAGAAAGGAGTAAAAAAATAGTATTACACTAGCCTGGTAAAGTTATATATGACATACTCAACAAAAGTTTTAGCTTTTTGTAAGCTCTTTCAGAAAAAATAAAAATTTGTATTAGAAATTCGAAATTTATCACTATTATTATATAACTATTAGTATGTTTTATTATTAAAAAAAAGTTGAAAAATTTCAAAACCAATTCGAAACAAAATTGTTAAAAACGTATGTTTTATTCGTAACGCCTTTTAGAGCCGCCCTGTATACTTTAAAGTAATTTAAAAGTATGCATCCTAACAATCTTTAAAGCTTTTGTATTTACCATTTTCTCAACTTTTGAAACCAATGGGATAATGAACTTTTTTCTATCGTTGACTTACCCTGTATTCTAATGTAAAGTAAACAGTTTTTGTCTCGACGAAACCATAATAATTCTTGTAACATTTCTGAATGATAAAAACTTACTTGACATACACGCTTCAAAGTGATTAAACAGTTCTTTTAAATTTTTTCAAAATGGATAATATTTTACATTGGGTTTACCTTCGGATGACATTTTCTCGGCCGCTCTTTTTCTGGACCCTCGCCATACCATTTCCATCAATCAATTTAGTAACACATGCTCACAATCGAATGTCATTTCCGCACTAAAATTAAAAACTGGGTTTATTCAACGAACAACTTTGATTCTCGGACACCAAAACATCGACGAAAATCGCGAAACGACTGGATCTAACTTCCGAAAAAGAGCGCGCGAAACGCAAGCCAATCGGCCTTACGGACCCAACTGCCAGTGTGGCGCGAAAACGAATGATCGAGAGAAATAAACTATTACCGGATAGGAGGTTGTGAGCGATGAGCGCCAACCGAATTTCGGAAGTAGGAGAATCTTTCGCGCGAGCTTTCGCGTTTGCAGATGGACCGCGAAACTTAATAGTTGGGAAGACAGCTGACGTTTTTGATGACCAATAGTAAGAAACATTTTTTTCCAGAGTTCATTGAGTAATGGTAAAAATGCAATAACTATTATAAAAAAACAATATCGAGAAAGATATTATTATTTATATTATTGTATGGTTGTAAAAATTAGTCACCTGACTGTACAGGGTTATTTTTTATACTTTCGTATCCACCTACGATTTACGAAAGTCATCGAGAAAAACTTCTAATACAATAATTTTTGTAGTATTTTAGACTTGTAAAAGATAGTTGCTGTTATGACAGAAGATCTGATTTCAAAAATATATGGATTGTTGACGTTTGAATAAACCGTTCTTGAAGTATTTAAGTTTAAATTTTTGTTTAACTAAACAGATCGAGCTGGCCAGGTGTGACATATCGTGGCGCTTTAGTTTAAATTGAAACATTCAGTTAAGAAAATTGGTTGCTCACAGGAAGAAAAGCTTCAGTTAGTTTGTAGGTACCGGGGTACCGTCAATTGATATAACAAAACGCATTACCCGCCAATTCAATGAGAAAGTTCAATATCGTTTGTTGCCACATAATTAGGAATGTCATATTACAAGATTCAGTCTACTTAGTGATAAAAATGTTAACTGCGGGGCAATTTGGTGTCCTCCGGACATTTCATTTGAATTTTAAATCTCATAGATAATAACTTACAGTTTTATTTCATAAATTAGAGTTAATAAGACATTAATAACAACCCATAAAGAGGATTTTTCTCAAAATCCAACTTCTTATTTTCACTATTTAGGTTATTTGACCATCTAATAATATAAAGTGGTTCACATTGTTATACTTATCTCTTTTTTCATTTTTGTTTGTGATTATGTCGGAAAAATTCACCAGATTGCGAAGTCAGCAACCACAATCGCGCCACTCATGGCCTTGAAAGCGTTGGAAAACCCCCTTCAAATTTATTAAAATGCGCTAAGTCTTTTTGGAAATATGGACATTTAAGAAAATGTTCGAACACTCCCTACCGCCTTCCTCGCAGAGATAGAGCGAACATATATATAAGATATTCCGTTTATCCGTACCTAAATGTTCGACAAATTTTGTTTGTTAACAATTTTTTCGTTAATTTTGGTTGGATTTCTTGCGAAATTTTTTTATAAAATTGTGGATTCTGGAACTTTATAGTTTCCAAAATTATTGACAATTTAACATTTTCTATTGTCATAATGTAATACGACTGTAAAGTTTTGTTATTAGTTGAATATGCTAACTGAAGTTTAAAAAAAATAGAATCCCGAAATTCGGTTTCTAAATCCAAATGGGAACAGCGTTAGAAAATTAGAACTACTATATACAACAGATTTGAAAATGGGGGTCATATGGAAATACTCACTTTAAATTTTGAAATTTTATTTATTTATTTTTAAATTTATAATTTAAATGTAATAGTTACACATTTTATATAATAATTTATAATCCTGCTTGTGCCAATGGATATTTCAAATCTTAACCCTCCCTTATACTTCAAAACGTCAAACCACGCTCAATTCTTTCAAAATTGTATTATCTTAAATTTTGCTTTGTGGATTTTTTTTGGGTATATTCATATAAAACAATTCTTCATTTTCTCAATACATTCTGAGTGCTTATGAAAAAAATTAGATTAAAAAAGTCAAATTTTAAATCAATGACAAAGTAGTCGTGTCAAACTGACATGTAAACAGATATTGTTTTCAAGTTCAGTTTCAGTGTTGTTAATTTTCCTGTTCGATCAATTCATACTCATTCGTTTAATAAAGTGGCATTTATTTTTTTAAATAAGAGTTAGGAAGCTACCTCTGAAAGAAATGTAATTTAGCATTAGTTCCAATCTCATTTTTTTGTAATGTTTTTATTTTCGGCAAACATACTCGGACAAAATTAAAGCAAGTTTTTGATTTTAATATTTATTCAGTACTTTAGAGAGAATTGAGATAAACTGTGATTGCTGTGTGTAAGCTGTGATTGCAAATAAAGAGTGTAGGGCTAAATATTTACTTTAAAGCCTCATTATCCTTTTTTTATGGTTGCAAAAATAAGTGAACATAATTTTGTCGCAGTATTAAAAAGAACAAGTTTAATTAATTTCATTTTTCTGATTATAAATTGTTCGGCTACCTAAAGTTTTAATTTACCCAACCAATCACTAACTTAAAGTATTCTAAATTGGTTTGTTTCTAATTAAATTTTCCAAAAGTTAATTTTGTCCGGAATAGTAGGTATATAATATCGCATGATAGGTATATAATATTGCATGATCTGTCAATATTTGGAATGTTTAGAGTTAAATTCACACTGAACAACCCTAGCTGCACCACCTTGATACTCGAGATCGAATCATAAACCGAGCTTCACCCCATGCCCCGGGTTATCAAAATAGGTCCAAACTCATAAAATTGCCGTCCATATAAATATAGTTTGTTATGGCAGCCACTGGGTTTTTGTAAACTCTAAAATAAACAAACCTATTAAGAGCGTATCGTATGGTCACTGTACTGTGGATCAATAATTATAAAAAGGATAGTGATAACGGTAAGTTAAATAAGATGATTTATGTTCAGAGAATTACTTATTAAATATGATAACCGGACTCAAATGCCTTCCTGAACAAATTTGTTCCACGCGCTGATAAATTAAATGCATATTGCCTTTCGGAGAAGCAGCGATTGCGTTTAATACATAGGCCCAGAGTAAATTATTTGATTTTGTTCTTTTCATTTGGAAAGACAACGCAAAACAATCAATATTTCTATGAATTAGATTGAAAAAAAAACTCCAAACCAAAAATACTAACCAGGTGACCCAGAAATTATGGGATGAAGTTATTTGGATTCTCTTATGCTTTAAAGTACACTTCCACCTGATCCTGATCGATCCGGACTCAGTGCACGGTATTGGGCTAGCGCGGTCTGGGGACACAACGGGCCCACCTGGTGGAAGCCCGCGGGGGGTGCCACCTTTAATACCAATACCAAAATATTATATTATTACATATACAGGATTTTTACATTTTCCTCAAAAAGGAAATTTCTAAACGTATTTCATATAATACTGTATATGTAGACAAATAGACAAGAGGACAAAATAAAGTAAGAGGAGAAAGATTCGATTATAAAAGTTTTTACTTGTTTTAAAAGTAAAGTTCGCAATTCCTGATGTTTATTTCTGATACAGGGTGCGAAAAACATGCAAAAATATAAAATTTGCTTAAGATTAAAATTTGCTTTTTACAGTTTAAACACAAAACATTATATACAAATTTCAAAATCCCATTACAGATTTTCAAACAAAAATTTGAAATTTTTATTTTTTTTTAAACTAAAATATTATCAACTATTTTATTTGATTGACCTTTGATATTTGTAACCCATTAAAATAAAAAAGATGTTGAATTTAGAACAGAGACTGTTAATAATCCAAAATGGGAGATCCATAAGGGGTTGCGGAAAATCGACAATGCAATGTTAGATAATAATGATTCTATTCAATGAAAAATATGCATATTACATATTGAAATAAAGAAGGATAAGTGAACATAATTTTATGTTTCAAAAACTTGCACTCCGTGCGCTACACATTTTGGACGTCGAAATTTGCTAAGAGTCCTTCATATGCTTCAGATACTTAATTTGCTATTAGAATCAGAATCCTATCTAGTTATAACAAACGTAAGTTTTAAGTAGAGCAATTATCTTTGAATGATCAAGCTACTTCTCAGTATTTAGATAATTCGGTCAGTCAATCTTTGGATCTGCATATTAAATTGAATTTTCTGAAATTTAACTAGTGGAATAAAATATTGGCTACTGATCTCGTCACAGTTTAAACGTACACACGAAGATCAATCGATCGAAAGCAAAGACAAGTTCCGATATCATATTCAATTACATGGTCTCGACTCAGGTCATTACTAGAAAGTAATCCACCAACAAATGACATTTTCTTAAAACAATAGACAGTTGAAAGTCGAGATTTCGCCGTTATGATTTATTAATTGAATGTTATAGCCGTGAGCTTCTTTAATTGGTTCTTAAATATTATATTAGTAAAATGAGACTAAGCAATCATTTGATAAATTATAAACCCAGCTTCTTCTAACCAACGACAAATATTCTTCTATGCTTTTTCCTACAATTGAATCTTCCTTAGGGGAGATAAAAGAATCTGGAATCTCGAAACCGATGGCAACAGAAATAGAACTGCTAATGCACTGCACTTGATAACGGGAAGTGATAATTCTGCCCGAAACGTTGTGTATAAAAATAATAAAAACAATGGAAGTTCGACAATCTCTTAGTGTTTCTAGAGTTAATGCAAGAGAAATCCCGAAGATGTGTACCCACACGAATGTCTTCTGGTCTGAAGGTTTTGTCATTTTTAGCATTCTTGCCTTAATGCACTTCTGATTGAGTAATCTCTGATCCTTCTGCTTTCATTTATTGTGATTTTACGGGCCTTTCCATATCCTTAAATAGTTCAGCAATATACTCAGACCAGGTTTTAAGTTGTTTCTGGATATTCCGAAAGATTCTTGCACTTTTTTCTGCATATTAGATATGTCATGTTTTCTCTCCAATTCTCCAATTTCATGCTATTTGTTCCTCTTTTGCTGGTCGAATTTTTGTTCTTATATCTTCTTGGGTAGTCCGATACATTTCACTATCTTTATTCTTGGCTTTCCCCTACCATATATAAGTTCCAGGATCTCATTTGTTTTCCAAGGTTTATTTTTACGTTTGTTTCTTGTTGTTGTGGATATGTGTTTCTGTGCTTTATTGAATACTTGCGTTGGTTGTTTCCACCATTCTTTCCTACTCGACTCATGTATATAAC